ACAGATAACTGATTTTATTTATGTATGTATACGTGTGTGTGAGCACGTATGTGTTTTCCTGCAGAATATAACTTCAGATAAAAGGTATAAGTTTTAGCAATACATGTTCAAGTATAAAAGGATAAAATAATATTTAGTTTTGTTTCATTTTGATAAGATCAATGAGACTCAATTTGTTATTATCAGAATAATTTGTATCTAGTTATTTATCAATTAAAATAATCTCAAATATTAAGCATTGATTTAATCTGAATTTGTCAGCTATGAATTTGTTTTTGGAAAAGTATTCCTACAGTATTTGGAAGACCCTGTAAGATGTCATTTTTATTAGTTTATAAAAATAAGACTATATTTGGGGAGAGAATAGCCAATAACACTTAGACTTTATTTGAACCAAAGTCCAAAAGAAGATGAATAAGTTCTAAACAGACTAGTGTTTAAAATTTCCTTTAAAACTAGTATTCATGATGTAAACAAAAGTGCTCCACATATACATCCTTATAAAAAGAAAATTACAATAATAAAAAACATCTAAAATTTATTTCTTTTCTGAAGTCAGTTTTAAAATATTCAATTAAAAATGGTTTATCTGTATTTTTGTGTTAAAATACTACAGCAAATAATACAATTTTCACTAATTTGCTTTACTAAATCCTCCCCAAAATATCTATGGACAATGCCTGTATTTTTAATCATGTTCATAGAAGGGCAAAGTATACAATATTTATGGTATCTCTAAATCAGACTGCTTTTTATTTATACTTATTTCTAGAAAAATTTGTTCCCTATATGCTATCATATCTTCTACATCTTTGTAGGCAAGCATTTCTTCAATTGAAAACAACTTATAGCTATTCAAGCTGAATGGTGAATTGTTCTTTATAGCATCTAACATTTTTAGCGATGTTATGACTGATTCACTCAAAGAAGAACAAACTGGGAAAATGCGAGCAGTCCACAAACTCATATGTGTCTTATTTCCCGAGAACAATTCTTCTGTAATTTTAAGATTCCAAATATCTAAACATGATAGAAAAGAGACTCCAAAGAACTGAAGTAACTTTACATCTAACAATGTTTTAACATTATTTTTCAAGTTGTCTTGCACTCCGAATGCCATGGTTGAATATGCTAGGTGTCCATTTACCTTCAAGCTTAAGGAACACACAAAAGAGTATGCAGGCACCACAGCTTTTGTTATGATATAAGAATTGCTAATAAAACAGTTTTCCCCAACAAATACATTAGGCCCCAATCTGGAATACTCTACAATTGAGCCAGGTGCCACAGAACATCTTAAATCCAATATACTTTGAATGATACAGGATGCTTTACATGAGCATTCTGGAATATCTGGAAGGATGCTAAAAGCTATGGACTGGAAGCCAAGCTCTGACTTTAAACTGCTCTCTGAAGTAAAATGAAACAAATATTCTTCAGTCGTTCCAATGTGATAAAATTTGGAGTTATTAAGAACAACAACATTTAGTGATGTTCCTTTAAGAAGATGAAATATTCTCTGCCTCATATGTACCAATTCTGATTCTTCTTTAGTGACATTTGATGTGTTTCTGGTGTATTCTATAGTTGCTCCAGGTCCTAAAGCCTGCAGAAAGTCACCATAGGCATCTATTTCACAGTTCAGTGTGCCTATTTCTTCATAAAAAGCAAGTAACTTTTTTGCTGATTTATGATCCATATAAAATACACTATCTGTATAGACATACTCACTGTCTAATTGGAGATAGGCAGTGTCACCACTAGCAAACTCCTGTTGACAAAAATTTCCAGGTCTACACACAGCATTAAATTGATGCATCTCTTCTATGCTGGGCTTATGAAGAAAACGATGGCAACATCTGTATTCAAGGTCCCTATGTTTTAAAGAATTTAAAGGATCTAAGACGAATACTCCATGTGTTGTACCTACCTTCACACTAGAAGGATGAGCTAAAGCAGTAAAGCCAGGTTTATCAAACTTAATATACTCAAATTCTCCAATACTATATAGTTCAATATCATCTGCACAGGTAACAAGAATTCCAGGATTCATATGTGGGGGAAAGTCAACGTACATGGCTAGTTTTAATTCCAACATCTGGTAAATGGGATTACCAAGTGGTAAGGCAGTAAAAATTTTCCCCAGAGCACTTGCACTTGGAAGGCGTTGACTGTAGCCGCCTATAAAATTTAAAAAGAATAAATATTTAAAAATGTATTAATATTTATAACATTTTCAAAACCCAGGGACATCCATTATAACTCAAATATCTCTAAATATATTTAATATATTCTATGTGTTACTATAATTCTAGAAAGGATAATGAAATCCAGATTAAAAATGAAACAGCAATTCTCCTGTAGCCATTTGATATAATACAATTTTAAAGATTTTAGTTTAGTACAGAAGTCTAATATATTATAGAGCCTGTAAATTGTTTTGAACATCAAGTAAAAAGGACTGTGGGCTAAAACTTGATGTTGTATCTGCATTTAAACAATAAATTTCAATTGCTCTTAAATTCACACATTAAAATTTTATTTCATAGAAAAAATTACAAAAATAAAAATGTAACAATTCCAAAATATAATTTTCTATTAAACTCTTATTTTCAGGTGCATCATTTTCCTTCAAATTATATACACTTAAAACATTTAAAAATTTATACGTACTTTTCATTTAAACAGGATTTTTCTTTATAAGTTGAGCATCATAACTTCTTAATTCATTGAAAAGTGTTCTCTTAAGTACTTTAAATATCGTATATCATTTTTATGCAAATAATTACAGTGAGAGGTAGCTTACCTTAGTCGAAAGAGTGATAAAAATTGAGTTCAAACCTGGTTCACCACTTTTAAGCTTTTTATCTTTGGACTTACTCCAAATTAGCACAAGTGAAATAACACTTGCCTTATCATGTTTTGTGAGATCAATAATACAGATAAAGCACTTGGCACTTAGTACACTGTTCAACAAATGACAGCTAATTATAATTTTCTATTTTTCCTTTTTCCAAGACTAGACAATAGTAAAATTTAGCACTAATGAATTATCTACAGCTGTCCTTCAGCATTCACAGAGACTGATCAAGACCCAGGAGGATATCAACATCCAATGACACAGTATTTGCATGCAGTATTCTCTTGTGTACTTTAAATCATCTCTAGTAAATTGTAATATAAAGTAATGTTATTAAAATAATGTATTAAATAGTTGCTATATTGTATTGTTTAGAGAAAAATGATAAGAAAAATGTGGGCAAATGTTTAGTACAGCCTCAATTATTCTTTCTCAAATATTTTCTATTCATGGTTGATTGAGTTTACAGATGTGGAACCTATGGATACAGAGGGCCCACTATATTTCTAACTATGTATTATTTTTTGGTGTCTAATTAAAATTTCCACTAAATTGGTAAGAGTTATAGTTACTTTTCTAGACTAAAACTATAAATTGAATTGTTTTACATTTAATTAGTCTAGAAACCAGAACTTGGTTGTACATTGTTCACATCATCTTTACAAAGAATCATGATCCTATATGTGAATCATAAGAAATGAAATGAAAAAAGCCTTAGAGACTATGTAGATGAATGCTTTTAAAATATATATGTCCCTGGACCAGTGACAATCCATGACAAAGTTTTCATTAGTCCTCTAGCATATAATAAAAAATAACAGAGGTTTTCATGTAACCATAATTTTCACACAATAAAGTGTATTCAAACTATTCTTTGTATAAATGCAAAAACAAAACAAAACAAAAAAAAACAAAAAAACCCCCCAAAACTACCCTTTATTCTGAAATTATGTTCTTTCAATTTTCTGTTTTAAAATTTCCTTATCTCTGTGTGTTTCCCCCTTGGTATACATACTTGAGGACTCCATGTCTTGTCACTTTTTTTTTTATGTTTTTAAAACTCTAAGGATTACAGCCTTTAGTTAACAATAATCAGACAAAAGTGCTAGACTGAAAGTTTTAGCAGAAGTCTAGTAATAATAGTGCTAAAATCGCCTGTTCCCCACAGCAAGAATCCCCTCCAAAGAACTCTTGAGAAATGATCATATTTCGATGAGTTCCATTTAAGGAAGAATAATTTTCTACATGCATATGAAAGACAAAACAATATCCATGAAAAGATGATGATGTATGAGATGAATAACTTTTACAATAAACTTTGTGAAAATCATTGTACACTTATTACCTAAAATAGCAAGAAAAGTATAATTTTTTTCAAAGTAAAATAATTTCAAAGAATAAATAAGACTAAAGGGAGAAACAGTCCCCAAGGTAACAGAGGTAGAATAATTCAAAAGAAAATAAAATTAATAAAGTTATAACTTTACCAGAGTGAATTAACAGGATAGTAAAAGAATTCCATTTATCTCCATATAGCTTTTCCAAACATCGAAGAGCACAAAGCGTCGATCCTCCATTTCCTTTAAAATCAATAAAAAGGAAGACTTGTTTAATAGAAACCTACTAAAATCAAGGTTATAATTTTAAGGATATGCTTATTTTAAAGATAAGGATAAGAATATGGCTTTGGCTAAAATTGACAGCAAAAGTACTGGTAAAAAAATAAAATAAATATATGCCATAGCAAGTAAGACAAATGAATATCAGTAAAGAAACCTAGAAAGCAGCCCTCAGAAACAAAAGATTTGCTAATATTCTCCTTAAAAGTAGTAATTAAAAAAATGCTAAATTACACAATGTTTAACACAGGAAGACTGAGACATATAAACACAGGGAGTTACAAATCATAAAATTTATTCTATTGATTTGTATTTTAATAATCCTATGTGACATAATAAAATTCACAAAAATCTAAAAAGATTTTTAGGACTAAAAACCATCCCAAACATAACAACCACACTAGTTATAACTACCAACTAGGCAAGATCTGTACCTTAGATTCTTATCTATACAATAGAATAATACAAGGACTGACCTCATTGTTGATGGAATGAAGACAACACTGGCTAATAAGAACAAAGCTAGAATTATACACATACATGCTAGTGGCTAGGGACTTCAGCTTTAAGTATCATATGGAAAACAGCCTTCAGAAAAACAGCATTTAATTTTATTTGCAAAGAAAGAAGGAAGGTCAAAGAACAAAGCTGACTTAAACTGGAATTTTCAAGTAAATATTCTATGATACTTAAACCACTAGACTTGTGTTCTTTACATTCTGTGTAATGTTCTAAAGTGACCATCTATATATGATGAATGTATGTTGTGCATTGTATTTTGTGTTCGGCATTGTGTTCCCAAGTGGCCATCTATATATGATGTATGTATGTATCTATTTAATTTTTTTTTCTGATTTGCTTTCTTTATGTAAATTTCTGAAGAACAGAAGGTTTGGGAGGCACCGTAAAAAGTCTACTGATAATGTCCAAAGGAGTACTTACTAAATTTCATTAAAACTAATAAAATTCTCTTTCAAATACATTCTGGAAATTTTCCACTATAAGTCACAATGGATTAAGAACAGTTGCTATGCCTTTTATCTTTCTTTAGAAAGGTCAATTTACATTCAAATTTTAAAGTTTGTAAAGGCTATAGGTGGAGCTTATGAACTATAAACCCTGAAAAGCTTTTCTTCAATTATTATTCTGCCAAGAATCTTGTATTATAAACCTGTTCATAAAATGCATACCAATTTTGGCTCCAGCAGGATCAACAAAAACATGATATTGAACTCCAAGGGGTAATTCCTTTCTTTTCAGCTTTTTTGACAGCTGTTGCCTATAAGCAAGTTCCTGCTTTTCATCAGCTGCTGTTATTGCAACTATGTCCCAGAATTCTCCAGCTGCCACAGGTTTGCCTATTTGGGAAAAGCAAGAAAATGATAACAAATATTATCAGAATTCTCTACCTGTTAAAAGTTTGCCTCTCTTAAGGGAAAAGAAAAGATAACTTCCATAATTCTCTTCAAAAATGCATCTTCTGCATTTGAAAATTAGGGAATAATTACTGTCCTGTTTTTATGATTAAAATAGTTCTAATGAGGACTGCTCAATTTTTTTCCCCTTTCAGGGTTTACAGTTTATTTTTTAAGAAATTCTAAAAGATTTAATGTTTCTTGATTAAGTGGGGTTCTTTTTATTTTCCAAAGACTATTATTTCAATTCTTAAATAAGAATAATACACAAAGAATCAAATAATTGAGTATCCTGCTTTAAAAATCAGTTCTCATCTATCAGAGCCACTTAGGGCTTGTTGGCTAAGTAACATTCAATCCAACGATCTATTTCTTCAGTGTTGCTGTTTATTACTTCACTTTTTTATTCCGTTAATGAGAGTCATGGAAGTTTACATAGGCTATTGGACTATGACACGAGGTACTGCATAACATAAAAGGTCCCAATTTTTCTGATGAACTCCTTAAAATACAGGCTGCACTTTTGGTAAACAGTTTGAGTCACTTCTTTATCAATAAAAAGGGTTTTTATTAGCTAACAAACAAGACCTGTAAGCTAGGGTTTAATAGCGTATAATATTTTACTGTTATCCAAATATTAGTAGTTTTTAGGCAATCATTTATTAGATAATTGTACAAGGAATGATAAGTGGCATAAGTAGTTTTTAAATACCGAACCGAACTTCCACTTAAAAACTTAAGCCATAATCCCTCCATGTTCTATTGCTGCCCTTCTCAGTAAGCATTTGCATTAGAGAACGAAAAGGTGAGGGATAGCTGTTAGGGAGTAAGGGCAAAATCAAATTCACTTATAAGGATCAAAACAGCGTGCTCCAGATATTTTCTAATGAACTAAACAATGCATAACTTCGATTTACAGCTTCAGTAGTCAGATTAAATATTTTCTCCTTCCTCCTCCTTTATTTTCATGTCTACACCACCAGGAATAAAGTTTTAAAAAGGCACTAAGCATAACGTAAAGAGAGGACGGTGACAAGCACTCAAAAGAAGTATTTGCCATTCCTGGGTCAGCAACTTAAAAGACTGCAGGTGAGAGGCAGAAAGGAAGTGACAACCCTCGGAAGACACCCTCCCTCTTCATTGCCCAGGAGATCTCAGTTCCTCCTTTGGTACCTCTCAGGTTTGAAAATCTCCGCAATTTTCGTTGGGTGGCTTCTCTCAGAGTTACGTCAAGAGGGACCCTAGCGCTGGCCATGGCCCCACCTTTTCCAGAGCCCGCGCAGCACAGCACGCATGCGCGGTGGGACGCCACGCATTCCCTAACCCGGTTAACGCTGCCCCGCCCCCTCCGTGCGTCCCTCACGTAACTACGCCGGGAGTGCTTTCGTCTCCACCCGGAAGGCGTTGATGGGCTGAGCTGGATCTTTGCCGGTTTCCGTAGCAACGGTCTCTGTAGCAGATGGCCGGCTAGCAATTTGTTGGACTGTGCAGGATCTGGGCCACTTTTCCCCAGCTCATAAGTTCTTACGGCCCAGTTGACCCGGTGAGTAGTTCAGGTTAGATGACACAGTTGTTGGAACCAACCCGCTAAAGAGAAAACGAAGTGCAACCTAGATTCCCACACTTTCGCCCGTGTGATCAGTCCTACCTGGAGGTTTGTTTCAGTCAGAAGCAGTTCTTTATTAACATCTTGTCAAATAAATTCAACCCCCAAGTTATCTGGAGCCATCTGTCCCCTACTCCGGGGCGATACAATAGCTGAGTAAAGTCAGTATTCTCTTCAGGAACTGTAGGTTTGTGGCTTCTTTGCGTTTACAGCTCCTAAAAGAGTGAGCCACACACACCACCGCTGTTTTTTGAGTTGGCTTCCTGGGTACTCATGCCTGTCTCCCAGATGTGGTCTTTGAAGTTGTATAAAATTCAGGTCTCTGATATTTGTTATTTATTTCTTCATTTTGCGCTTCGGTGTTCTTTTGTATGTGTAAATTAATTTAGAACATTTGGTAACATTACTGGGGATAAGTCAGCCTTAGATGTATTTTTGTTGATTATATATTTCTTTTGTGAAACACCGAGTTTATGGTGAGCTCTACGGATTAAGCTCTTCATCTTTATACATAAGAAAACTGAATTAGGGAATAATGACTTAGTCAAGGTATGAAAATTAGTAAATAACAGGATTTGAGAACTGTATTTCAATCCCAAACCCAGAATTTGTGGCACTCCACCATATGTTTTGATTTATTTGAGAAGCCTCTCCACTAAAGTCTTCATTAGGAGCTTAGGCAACCAAGGCCCTTGAAACTTACATAGATTGTAAGGTAACTTAGTTTTTCTTCTAAAGGTGGTGGACCTTGATATATAATTCTGTACTTAATAGGGTAAAAGGGCATATTACTGTTTTGTTGTTTCTGTTTTGTTTTGTGATGCTGGAGATTGAACGCAGAGCCTTGCTTATATTAAGCAAGCGCACTAACATTGAGCTACAATCCCAGTCGCTCTTTGAGTTTTGTCTTTTAAAACTTTTCTTTTTGTTTATAAAAACTACATTCTTTTTGAAGGACATTTAAAAAATACAGATTGACTGAATTGAGAATAGGCAATACAGAAAGTAGCAAGAGATAGGTCAAAAAGAGAAAGGCTATAGAAAGGATTTTGTTTTTTACTCCTGAGTAAAACTATTACAGAGTTTTTATGTGATTTGTCTTATGTTTAAAATGATCACTCAGAATTGTGAAAATAGATTATAGTGGGGGATCAATAAAGATAGAAGCAGGAAGATTTGTTTGGAGGTAACTGGAATAATGCATAAAAGTGATAGTTAGCCAAGATGGTAAAAGTGACAATGGTGAGAAATTGGTCAGATTCTGGATAAATTTTGAAGGCAAAACCAATAAAATTTATTGATAGAATGGGTGTGGAGTATTAGAGAGTGAAGTAAAAAATGACTGCCTGAGGATGGAGTGGTCATCAATTGAGATGGAGAAAGTTAAGGATGGAGAAGCTTGGTTGGGTAGAGAACATAATTTGATTTTGGACATTATGGAATAAACATGTATGCATGTGTGGTAGAAAATTGTTTATGTCTGTGTGCACCATACATGTGAGCGTGGAGTTTAGGAGAGAGATTTGCAATGGAGTTACAGTTTATGAGTTGTCAAAATATAGATGGAATTAATTTTCAACTATGATACTAAATTGAGCTCCTAAGGAAATTAATAAGTCCTACATATTTAGGTACTGTACATTTTAATAAGGTGAAGTGAACAATGAAAGAGTAACCAAAAAAATTCAGAGTGTAAAGAACTATAGTTAGAGTATAAATTGAGCTTTTCTTGAATCTATGAAGGGTGCCATAGAAATGGATATTATTTATTCCAAATATGACTACATTGTTCACATAAAATTTGCTGGAAGTGAATAGGCCACATTATCAGCTATGGTTTTTCTGTTCCTGTTTTTCTTATTTTTATCACATTTTCATTAAATTTTAAGTAATTTTTTAAATAATTCAGTATACTGATTGGGAGTAAATGACTTTGGCTGTAATTATAGTAAGTAAAAAGTTTTAAGTCCAAATTCGATATAATCACATAGTGTGATATAATTGTTTAAGCAGTTAAACAATCAGAGCATTATTATTTTACTTTAGCATTTACCAAAAAGAATGAACCTGGTATTTGCCAGAGTGTTATTTTATCAGAGTACAATATACCAATCCAGCTAAGTAGTAAGCTTATTAATTATGCCAAATCAAACACTGGAAACAATCTTGGTCTTAGATTCCATATTTTAATAAAGACATTGAGCAAATTAGAGTATAATCAATTGAAAAATAATGTTCTGTGAAGGCATTTGTGCCTCTCTTGGAGGAAATTATCTGAAGAGTTGCCATAGAGAGTAAGATACATAAAAAAAAAAACAACACAGCTTTCTTAAGTTATACTTTTGTGAAATTAATTTAGTCTGATTTAAGTGAACAATTTAATATTTTTTATTTATAGCTAATTCTAGTTAGATTTTTTAAAATTACTTTGGGCATAAATATGACTGTTGAATGGGAATTTCAGAGAAGCACATTTTAATCCCCCTTTCCTATTCATATGAAGAAGTTGAAACCAAATGAAGAGGGTCATGGCTCCTGAGCCATGGAGTTCATGGTGCATGATATAGTCAGGCCACCAGTAAAAGTACTGGTGCAGCTCTGCTTGCTACCAGTACTTTTATTTATCTAACTATTGCTTCCTTCTACTTTTCATGACATACAGCAACAGCAACTCTTTTTATAGTTATTTTTACTTGAATTTGTTTACTCAGCTATCCTTTTTGAACTTTATTTCTTAAATATTTTTCCCCAATGAACCCTCTTAAAGGAACTCTCATTCCCTCTTTCCTTGTGAAGAGGAGAAAGAAAATTTCTTTCAGAGAAGAATTCTCACCTTCCTCCTGCTTCCAAACTTCTATTTTTACTTTCTTCCTTAGTTTTTTTGTAGACTTCAAATGAAATGTCCAGGTAGTATCCAGATATTATAGTGTGCAGATATTAGCATGAGGTTTGGAGTTTCTTTTTTGTTTGTTTTTTTATGAGGAGATAGAATTAAACTAGTAAAGAAATAGATTTCAATTAGTTTAGTACAATGTTTATTGCTTTTAATGGAAACATACTAGTGGTCCAACTTTAGGAGATAAAAATATGTTTTATGAATGCTAATCAACTGCTTTTGCTTTTGTAGTCTTGCAAGAGTGGAATAAAACCAAAATCTTCAGAGATAATAAAGTGGTTTTGTTATAAGTCTGTAGATTTTGGAGTGATTTGTTACACTGCATAAATAACTGAAAAGTACTTGTTTTTAAAAATTTTTGTAAGAGGTTGAATATTGTTTGTGAATTCAAAATAAAGAATTCAAGGAATTAACATAGATTTCTACCTAAATGAGAGTTTATTCTTTGTACTTAGTAGTCTCTCACACATTCTCACCTGAAAGTTTTCTTTTTCTCTGAGGGAAAGAAAAGACAGCCAGATATATCTATGTATACTAATAGTATTGAAGTCTGACTTAGAACTTTAGGTTTTATATTAAAATTTTTACATGTTAGCTAAACAGAACAAGTTTCCTGTTCTCAAGAGTACATATAATTTAGTGGGAAAGAGGACATTTAAATATCTTAAATTGGAGATATGGGAATGGAACAGAGATTTATATCATATAAAAGTAAATCTTCATCATATAAAAGACAATGATTTTGCACAGAAGCATAATAAAAATTAAAATGGCTGCATAATTATAAAAAAGGGCAAAAATTTTATTCTGACCTTAAGAGATCTTACTGACAACAGTAACTTGCCCTATAGACTTCTGGGAGGAACTGAATTCATCATAGGGAGGGAACTATTTGCCAGAATCTAACACTGCCTTGCAAGGTTTGAGCAACACCAGCTTGGCCAGTTTATTTTTGACCAGACATTCAGTAGACTTGGAAAATTTAAACATTGCCCTTATTTGCCTCATTTTCCAAACATTAGACCTGATAAAAGCTGAAGTCCATTTTCCTTCAATAAAATACTGAGCCTATGATCCCAATTAACAAATTTTTCCATACAAGGCTAAAACTGTCTTCTCTTTTATCTTAATCTTTTTTATGATTTCTCAGTTTGTAAGAGGATTGCACCAAGGCAGAGAGGTGTGACATCCTGTAATGACAGAGTTCAACTATTTCAATAGCTAAGATTCAGTGTTGTTAATTGTTTAGAATTTTAACAATTGGAAAAATAGATATAAACTAATATTTAAATAGTGCTTATTTTTGTTTATCATGTAGATAATTCAGTATTTTCTCCAGTGTATTATTTTAAAACTTTTTTTTTAAGAATTAAGAAAATTAGTTTTCTTTTCATAAAAAACCTTTTAAGCTGTGAACCTGAGTCTGCTTAATCATACTAGTATTTAGTTCTTACTTTTTTTTATTATAATAGAAATATTTTTGATTAAAGCTAAAAGTAGACAGTTATACAAAATGGAAAGAAAGGGCACTGAATTAAGGAATATGCTGATTATCTCAAATTTAGATTGAATAGCCCCTTAATCACACTGGTTTTTAATTCTTACAGATTTTATTTTTACTTACAGTAGACATCTTTTTGATGAAAGGTTAAAAAAAGTTGTATGAATGAAAATAAAGGAATTGTATTACATAATATAAAAATTACCTGGAATTCAGATTTAACTCAATAATTCCTTCTTTGTCAGACTATATGTTTTATTGGCAAGAAGTTTTCAACTGAGTGAAGAATACCAATCAAATTAGTTCCCTTACCATACATTCATTCTAATGTAGAAAATGTGAACATATTTAACATTTTGGTGGGGAGGGTACAACATTTTGAGTAGTATTACAATTGTATCAGTAAACTTCCCGAAACTATTGAGTTTGTTGATCTAATAGATACATTTGAATGCTTCACATAATTGCAGGAACCTCTCATTTCATAAAATTATCTAGAATGTCTGAGATCAGTATAGAAAACAGAAAAGAATTCAGCTTTTGAATAATGCTAGTAGTAGATCATTGACATATTCAGATGACATACAGACAGCATTCATTCGGAAAACTTAGTGAAGTGAATCAATGAAAATTGTATTAACATAATTGCTTTAGTATAATATTAATAAAACAAGATACAGATAAACCATTTTTGATAGAAGACAACTTAAAATAAAAAATTTTATTGTAAGTAATGAGGCTACAGACATTAATAACTATCCTTAGTTGATATCACTGTTTAGAATGTCTGGAAATAAATGTCAGAGTAAATATTATACCTTGTAGAAATAAGCATCAAAATAGAGTATTAGAGATGTAATGATCTGTGTGAGAAATAAACATTAACTATATAATTTTGTGTATGTGTATATATTGTTGGGATGCAGTAATGAAAAGTATAAAGTCACTATCATCCTTATGGGAGGAAATACGATCTCTAATACTTCATGCTAGATGGGTATTAATTGTCCAAAAGTTTTTTAAATGAGTTTTGGAGGTGAAATATAAAAGAACAATTAAGAAAATGAAAAGGCAAAATATAGTCTGGGAAAAATTTTTGCAAAACACATGTTTGATAAGGGGCTGGCTTCCTAAATAATGCAAGAAATTTAAACTCAAGTATAAAAAATACAGTCAAAAAATGGACAAAAGATATTGATATCTCACAGAAAATGCAGATAGCAAATAAGCATATAGAAAGATGTTCAAGATCATATGTCCATAGTAATTGCAAATTATAACAGTGAGATACCAGTATACCTATTAGAATGAACAGAATACAAAATACACCAAATATTAGTGAGTATATGGGGCAATTAATTCCTCTCATTCCTTGCATAGGGGGATGCAAACTAGGGCAATGACTTTGAGAAACAGAGATATTTTCTCATAAAATAAAAATACTATATGATCTAATATGTAAACTGCTGATATTTACCCAAATGATTTGAAAACTAATGTTCACACAAAAACCTAAACACAAATGCTTATAGAAACTTATTAATCATTATTCAAACTTGGAACCCAACAAAGTCTTTTCAGTAGATAAATGGATTAATAAACCATTATACATTCAGTGCTTTAAGAATGAACATTTAGAAAAAAAGATATTTAGGAAACTTAAGTGCACATTACTAAGTGAAAGAGGCTCTACTGTATATCCACATGACATTCTGGAAAGTCAGAACTATGGAGACATTAAAAAGATCAGTGGTTGTAAGGGGCTTGAGAGGAGGGAGGGAGGTGAAGTCCAGGGGACTTCTCGGGTATGAAATAATAAGGATTCTACATGATACAATAATGATGGACACATGTTATTATACATTTGTTGATACCCATAGACATGTAGCAATGAACAGTAAAGTCCAAAATATGGACTTTAGTTAATAATAATGTACTAACATTGGCTCATTCATTTTAAGAAATGTGTCACACTAATGCAATATATTAATAATAGAGAACTACAGAGGTTAGGGGGTTAATGAGAGAGTATATAGGAACTCCGTACTTCTTACTTATTTTTTCTGTTGACATAAAATAGGTCCCACCTTCAAAAAAAAGTTTTCTTTTAAGTCACATATGACCATAAAATAAACAACACACTTCTTTGGTATGTGATTCTTACTTTGCAAATTTCTTGGAGAACAGATATTACTTTCAAAAAGTAGATGCTATAGATGAAACTGTTGAGCACCCCAGAAACTGTTGAGCACCCCATTGTCTTATTTTGAAACATGCTGATATGTCCCTTATATAGTCTCTCTTAAGCTCTTGTCATAAACTGTTCTGGAGCTAGCCTATCTTCAGAAGACAATAGAAAAGTAGTACTTTGAAAGGAGACTTTGAGGAAGGACTTCCTAACAGTATTTTCTGTTTAGAAAAAGAGTGTAAATGAAAAAGATGCATTGTATATATTGCCTTACATTTCAGGGCCTCTAGAGCTTGTGTCTATTTGTGCTGTTTTGCTCTTTGATTTTGGAGGGCTGGTTAACTTTTAGTTTAGATTGAACTTTCTTAAGATATCCATAAATTGCCTGTTTAAATACATAGCTGCACCCTTAACCCAGAGATTCTGATACATAGATATAAAGGCGGGGCTCAGAAATTTCTCATCCTTTTAATTAATTACATAGATGATGCTTGAGAATTGCAAGGTTGTAGGTTTAGGCCTTAGGAGATTAAAAAAAATAGCCAATGTCTTGTTATAATATGAGTTTATCTGGAATTTCACATTCTCATTTGAATTTTTGTTAACTTGAGTTTACCTCACATCATAAAAACTGATTCCTTTATTAGGGAAGGTGGTTTATTGTGTGAGAAGCCCAGATAGACCACATGTGCTTATACATTCTCTTCTAAACTATCACTAATTGACTACCTTTTATGAAAACTAAAATTACTCATACTAAGGGTAAATTCATATGTATGAGATATATCATATAAGATTATACAATAAAGTATTGATCCAAAAGTTTCAGATAAATTTAATTAGCCAAATTTTAAAGTTTTAGAATTCTGAATCCTACTTGTCTAATTGAATTGAACATAAAAATCTATAATGTGATGGTAAGTTTTTTCTTTAAAATATAAATATTGTTGATACCAGTTGAAAATTGTTACACTTTATTTCCTTCTGACTGCATTTTTCAGCCACTGTACAGATTATTATTCTCCTAACTTGTTAACTATTCAGTGGTTTTATTTTTATTTAACATGGTTAAACCAAAATTATTATACTAGCTATGTTAAGACACAATTTTGTTTTTTTGTTGTTGTTGCTTATTTGGTCTGTAAGTGACATTTTTATTAATTCTATGTTCTCCATTCTATGAAAAAGAATATTTTTCTTCCTTTCACTGATTTGTTTTTGATAAGTACAATTATATCTTTTTCAGTAGTGACTAGATATTTAAAACACTTCAGGATCAAATATTCTATGAGAATTAGATACTCCTTTTTAAAATTTTTATCTCTTCTACTCATTTTAATTCTCATTATATCTTAGCAAATATTCTATTTTGTTTTCAGGTAGATTTTTAAAAGTTGAAAAATTTTCCATCTTTTCTAGATGTTTCATGGAACAATCACAAAAGAGCTAACCAGTCATGAAGAATGGAGTCACTATAATGAAAATATAATTGAAGATCAAAAAGATTTTGTTTTTGTGAAGTTCAGTGGACTTTATTTAAAATCTATGGAATATTTGCAATCTTATATCTCTCTTAAAGTATGCATTTTCTCAAATAATTTTATTACAGATATTCATCCACTTCAAAATTGTATAAAATTAATTAAACTTGACCTTCATGGAAATCAGGTAAACAATAGTCATTTAAGATGTTTGAATATAAATGAAATTTATGTGTAATGAACTAATATTATTTACCTACAATATTATTTTTAGATAATCTGTTATCTAAAATATAAATATAAAATTGAAAATAAATTTTAAAAATGTATATTAATACAAAATTAAAAGTACAATATTTTTTAAAATAAAGCACATAAACAAAACATGATTTGGCATATTTTATTTCTTAAATTTATAGTCCAAATTAAGAATACTTCTTGACTCTAGTTCTTTATAGAAGAAAAGTATTTTTGAAAATTTAGAGTCAGCTATTACCAAGTAATTTTCATTGAATCAAATATGTATCGTCATGCGTTTAATTATAACGATAACAAAAGTTTATTACAAATACCCAGTGTATTACGTTGTTTTCCCAGAAATCATTTAGATACTTGGAAATATTTATCTTGATTATTAATCAGAAACTTGCAAGATATTAAATTTTAGAAGATGTTTAATGTTTTGGTATTTTTCCATGTTATATTTAGAAAAGTAATATTTGAGCTAAATTTACTCATGATAATATTTCAGATCAAGAATCTACCAGATACGAAATTTTGGAGTGGATTAAAGTACCTAAAACTCCTCTATCTTCATGACAATGCATTTGCAAAGTTAAAGAATTTATGTGTATTGTCTGCCTGTCCAAGCCTCATTGCTCTCACTCTGTTTGATTGTCCGGTAAGCCTTAAGAAAGGATATAGACATGTTCTTGTTAACAGTATATGGCCTCTGAAAGCACTGGATCATCATGTGATTTCTGATGAAGAAATAATTCAGAACTGGCAACTTCCTGAAAGATTCAAAGCATATAACCAGCGACTTTTCTTCAATTTCTGCACTGCTTTGAAAAAGGTAATTGGCTTCATTAGGATTTCATTAGAAATGATTTTTTATTTTTTAAAGAAGTAGAATTTTAGCTTCTAAATTCTACACTTGAATTTAATAAACTTTTTAGTAGTTTTATCATTTTTATATAATAAATTAATGAATGTATTAGTGATGGCTTTCTATCTGAGCATTCATAGAGACTCATATGCTTTGTGTATGAAGACATTGATCCTAAAATCATGAAGTTGTAGAAAAATATATTTTTGCTTTTTAATTGAAAATAGAGCTCTGATTCATTTTTGTTTGGTATATAAATGACTCCTTTGGGAAATATTTGGTATTTTTAGAATGCTATAAAGTACAATTTAAGTTATTTTTGGAAAAGCAAAAATATTCATTCTTAAACAATTAATTTGGTGACATTAGCATAATCAAACCATCATTATATGTTGATTTATAAAATATTGAAGAAATGATTAGAAAAACTTGATTCCTAGAATCTTTATGATGCAGGATATACAAAAAATAAAATGTTCTTCATACAATATTAATGTTAGAGCAAATAAATAAAAGTTCAAAAGAAGGGATTAGAAAAAAATCTGAGATACAGTAAGTAAACAAGTATGTTGCAAAGCAGTGTTTAATTCTGATGTTCATATATATAGTCATGCATCATTTAACAATGGGAGTATGTTTTGAGTAATGTTACAATGCCTACATGTTATTAGACAATTTTGTTACTGTCTAAACATCATAGGTGTACTTCTGTGAACTAAGATAGCTATGACATCATTAAGTGATATAATCTTATGATACCATGACTGCATATGTAGTCTGTCATTCATGAAATATCATTATGTGGTACATGATTGAAAATGCACAGACATTTTGAGGAAGAATAGAAAATTATTTTGAATAATGATTACAAGTAAAAAGGTATGTATAAATATTAAACAGTAATTATGTATAAGTAGATACAATTCTTTAAAAATTATGAATATAGTAATGATTTTGTAATATTAGTTTTAAAAACTGGGTTTTGATAATAATTTTCTTAGTTTTTTTTTTGTTCTTTTGGTACTGGGGATTGAACTCAGGGGCACTCAACCACTGAACCACCCAGTCCTATTTTGTATTTTATTTAGAAACAGGGTCTCACTGAGTTGCTTAGTGCTTTGCTGTTGTTGAGGCTGGCTTTGAACTCTCAAATGTCCTATCTCAGCTTCCCAAGATGCTGTGATTACAGGTGTGCAACACCCCGACTGTCATAATAATTTTGTAATAATGATTAAAAATATAAAAAAGTGAGGGAGTATTTAAGTTTGGTATATTAATCTGGACTCTTAAGGAAGAATTTTATTTAGGTATTTCATTTCTGATATAATCAAAGATAGAACCATACATGACCCTATTAAAGACAATCAAAATAAATGAGGACCACATGACATTTATGGAAGTGATGAAAAATTTGGTAGGTTGGATAACATATAGAAGAGTTTAGTTTTCTTAGTGAATATAATGAAGATCAATTGAAGTTATTTGAGTAAGAAAATAGAATGGTTCTCTCATAGTATGTGCTCATAAACCAATGATATTACCAAAGTCAATATTTTGGTAGCAGATTAAAGAAGATGAGGGTGGAAAACAAATGATAGCAGGGAGATTAGTTATTCTGACAGGAAGGGATGTTATAGGGTTTATAGAGCAGACTACAATGTCAACTAAAATAGTATAAAAGTAAAGGACAGATGCTTTTTCTGTGAAAGCCATTATGGTAGGAACTCCGTTGTATTTTATTCCTTCACTCTTCACCAAATATGTGCTCTTTTACCTAAAATATGCAATTACTTTGTGTCTTGGGGATTCAGTGGTAAATAATACTGTAAAATTTCCTGCCCTTGTTTAAGGCCAATGGAAAGGAACAGGAAATAAACACCTAAGCTTAAAAGAAATAAAAGAATGGAAGTAACCATAGAATGTCAGATTATGTTATTTGCAAACAAAATGCAAAGAAAGAGCTAACAAAGTATGAAAGGCCTGAAGATATGGGCTATATTAATTCAGATGGATGTGTAAGCCCTTTCTGAAAAAAGCTTATTTATTCCTCATCATTTTCGTTGATGTGGAAAGGTATTACTTTTATTTCACAGAAGAAAATGAAGCATAGTGAGATATAAGGATCTAAGTCAGCATTAGACAAGTAAGTGATAAAGTTGAGATTTCAATGTCTTAGTTTCACATTTTTTCGATCAATGTATCATAAATGGTATCACAATTTGATGAGACATTTTTAAAAAATTGATGTGGGAGGAGAAGAAGAAGAAGAAATAAGGAAATATACCTCTAAAATTTTGAAACTTTATAACTGGGACAAAAAATAATTTAGTGGATTGGACAGCATTTTCAAAGTTATAGTAGAAAGATGAGTTTGTTCTAGGTTTTTTGTGTGTGTGTGTGTGAAGATATATATACTAGGTATTAGCAAAAACGAAGAACTAAAATTTAGAAATAGTGTTCTGGGCTTGGTGTATGTCCAGAGGTGTAAGTCCAGTAGTCATTTGCTTGAAGGCAAAGTTGAAACCAAGCTCTTTCAGGAAAATATAGGGATCAATGAAGACTGAGAACTAAAGGCACACCCTCAGGCTCAATTTGTGTATAGAAAGCAGAGGAACCAGTGAGAATAAAAGGGAGTAAAAGGAGAGATATGGGCATTATTATCACTCAAGCTATGGGGAAAAAAGTGGTTAAAAACTGAAGAAAGTTTCTAAAGGGTTAAAGAAATTTAGCACTGAAAGAAATGTATGTTGATAGTGAAGAGTTTCTTTTTTTTTAATCATTGGAATTTCAGTAGTTTCCAGATGCAAGTATGAAATTGTAATGAGTAACTGATTGCCAATTATAAAATATTTTCTCTAAAAATTTTGGGCAAAGGAAATATAAAGCCTTAATTGCAGGAAATAGAATAAATAGAAGATGTTTTTTAAAAATGAGGTGATACTAAGTTCAACTTATATTTAATCTGCTGAAAGTATTTTAAGAAGATAAAGAGTGAAAATTTTATAATGAGGGGAAAAATGAAGAAAACCACTACTGAAAAAGTATGAATGCAAAACAACACATACACAACAAACCTTAAAGTGCTGTCAGAATTTTTTTGAGTTATAGAGATTTAAAAAAACTATTTTAATAACATTTTGTTACTGTATGAATCAGTTTGTTGATTGTGCTGTAACCAATGTTCTTTTGGTTATTCTTTGATAATTGAAAAATTTATATCACTATTCATAAATTTTGAGAAGGAACAAATGTAAATCTATTAGGATAGATATTTATTCAGCAATATTTTAAATATATATCTTAAAAGATTTTATTGTACTTATTAATGAACATAGAATATTATGAAAACTGAAAATAATCATCCTATAAGTGTTCACATAATGTTTTTTTTTAGTAAAGTGTGAATGTAGAAATTCAAGAAGAATGTTTATTTTGAAAGAAACCAATTTCGTAATGTAATTATTGCTTATACCTTATAAAACATTAAAAACTATCGAGAAGTGTCTTGTTTATTCCTAATTGTGAGGTAAAATGATTTTTTGTTCTTTTTTTATGGGTATAGTTGGATAATACTTTTGTTTTAAAGATAAGAATATAGATGATTATATGAAATAAAAGTAATTTTAGAAATTTGAAGTGCTTATTTATCTAAAAACTTACAATAAAGAAATATATATTTATATATTAATCTATATAATTTTTTAAAAATATGGAATGATCTGTGAAATACCCAATTTCATCAATTGGGATCACATTTTGTCTGCATGTAATAAAAGAACAACTAATCAAGGATTATATTTTGAATCATATAATATGTTCAAGGATTATATTTTTAATCATATAATATATATTTCAAAGACAGGCAGTCCTCTGTGTAGTTAATTGTTTAAGTAATCATAAAGAAACATAGCTTAGTCTATCCTTCTCCTTTGCTATCTTAGCTAGTGGACATTTACTTTAATGGGCAAGAGATTCTTCACATCCTGCCTGGCATGTGGCAGAAAGAAGGGGAAGGGTGAGATCAAAAAGCACATATCAGCCAAGTTTGTCATTTTGTATCAGGGAAACAATAACTCCTATTTTTTTTTTCTGATACAATTCCACTACTGAAAGTGACTCTCCTGGCTACAACTTGATTGAAGGGAATTTGTTACAATGATTATTTTTAAATACAAACATTCACTTTTAAAAAAACTGATATTCTATTAATGAGAAAATAAAGGATAATAGATTCTTGGAAGGCAGCTAACAATTCCCATCATATAGAGAAATAGAAATTTATAGTGATTTTTAGGAATGGTGATTTAATTTAGAATGGTAATTTAAGCAGTTGGTATTCATTTGCTTTTATTTTCAATGAAAATATCAACATAAAGATGCATATGTATGAAGTTACAAAATAAATATTTAAATTCCAATTCATAATTCACTTTTTACAGTGAGATATTAAATAATATTTTTAAAATTTTAAATGTTTTTAATTTCTAAAAAATTAGTGAAGATCAAAAAATAGTCTTATGAAAATGTGTCAAAAGTAAGACTATTTTTACAAAATTACATCTTTACATCTGTGAATGTAAGCTGAATTACCAAAAAGTAAATGAATTATAAATTTTATAAATCAACGTAAAAGCCTTAATCAAGATGATTATTAACAAGATTGAGTTTGAAAACAAAAGTAATATATAAACGATAAATGTAAAATTCTATAGAACAAAACAAAGGACTTAACAGTGGTCTCAAACCATGTAGAATTTAACACACAAAATACGAGATTGCATAAAGAGGATCTCTTTCAACTGAAATAAAAAGAATAACAGTCACAATAAAGCTATTTTCATTCTGAGTAATGTATAAAATAGAATTATGTAAATACATATATATAATAAATACATATATCATAAATGACAATAGAGGGAGTACATAATACTTTATCTCAGCATTGCTAGTCATAAGGAAATGCAGAT